AATCCAGAAGATTAGGATTTGAGAGAGCTCAAAGAGTGGATGCACCTGCGCCATTGCAAACGATTTTGAGCCATGTCGTTCAAAGTCTCTAACCATTGATGACTTTCGTCTCGCGGACCCCAACCAGGTAGTCTACATCTACCAACATGACTCAGTCCACTTGTCAGTGACTTCATGGATTTCTGCCATGTTTTGGTCTGGCCGCCCCTAGCTTTCTTCCAACCTACTCCTACACCACAAAACATAGCTCGTCGAGGCAGTCGGTGGTTAGGCATACGTAACACATGTCCCAACCACCTCAACTGATGAAGTTTCACCACTTCATCGATTGATCTGCCATCCTTACCTAGTACTCGTTTCCTAACGACAGCATTGCTTACTCGGCTGTCCCACGATATACGAGCAATGCTTCGAAGACACCTATGATCGAATACTAGTAACCTACGAACATCTTCTACTCTTAACGGCCATGTTTCACAGCTATATAAGAGAACGGAACGAACTGCTGCGCAGTACACCCGCCCTTTGGTTAGCGAACGGATATCACGCCTACGCCATAAGTGACGCAGGTTGGCAAAAGCCAATCGAGCTTTCTGTATCCGAGCTGAGATTTCGTCACTCACCAGACCGTCAGCACTGATGAGACTCCCAAGATAAGTGAAGTGATCTACACGCTCGACTACTTCACTCCCTATCACTAGTTCAGGTGCCGAAGCAACCCAGTCTTTAAGCAACATTTTGCATTTCGAGGGGGAAAACCGCATCCCGAACATGCTCGCATTGTTGCTTATGGTAGTCAGAAGACTCTGCATTTTGTCAGCGTCTTCACCGAATAGAACTATGTCATCGGCATATTCTAGATCACTAAGCGACTTTCCTGGTAGAAGGTCAACCCCTGAAAAATCTGACGAGCTTAATGTTAACTCTAAGAGGATGTCTACGACAAAGTTGAACAAGAATGGAGAGAGTGGACAGCCCTGACGGACACCACTTGAAGTAGAGAATTCAGATGACAGTTCGCCATATGCTCTCACCCGACCAGTGGTGTTCGAGTAGAGTGCTTGTATAAGGTTAATGTACTTCTTTGGTACACCTTTCAATGACAGACACTGCCACATAACCTCACGATCCACTGAGTCGAAAGCCGCCTTAAGGTCCAGGAACACGACTATTGTCGGACGTCTAAATGTGTGTCTGTGTTCCAGGACCTGTCGTAGTGTGAAGATGTGGTCTATACAACCACGTCCAGGTCGAAAACCAGACTGGTTTTCTCGAGTCTGCTCTTCGCGAGCTCTAGTTAGACGTCTAAGTATAATCGAGGCTAACAATTTAGAAACTATATTAGTTAAACTTATTCCCCTGTGATTGTCACAAGAGGACTTCTGTCCTTTCTTGTAGATTGGGACAATTAGCGACTGTGACCAGTCAGATGGGATTACGTCCATTTCCCAGATTCTACCTAGGATCTCGGTCAGTTTAACCGTTAAAACTGGACCACCATCCTTAAACATCTCAGGGGTAAGCCTATCGGGACCTGCCGCTCTACCTCTCCTTAGATTTCCTATAGCTTTCTCAACTTCATGTAAACTGGGAGGACTTAAATCGATTTGCCATTCAGGATGACTGGCGATCGTGGGCAACCGAAGAGTGGCTGAAGGCCAGTTGAACTGATCCCTAAAGTGTTCTGCCCATCGGTCCAGCCTCCTAGATTGAGAATGGATAATAAGACCATCCTTTTCCGAGATAGTCTCGCTTACATTCGGGTTCCTAATACCGGTTTCTTTGATAAGGCGGAAAAGTTGTCTGGTGTTGCCGATCGCCGCTGCCTTTTCCATCGCTTTTGCTTTCGCCACCCACCACTGTTCGCGATCGTTACGTAGGCTTTTTATAAGTCTGCACCTAAGCTGACTACGCTCTTCATCATGTTTAGAGTCAGGTGGGATGCGTTTTCGAGCATCCATCAGTTCTGTGGATGCTACTGAAATCCACTGCTTCATCCTAGCCTTGTGGTTTACCTTGCTAGCAGATACCATTGCTGTTTCCATAGCCTTCTTGATATGATTCCAACCTGCTTCAGGATGGGAATCACTTGCATGGCCGTCTAACTGTTTTTCTAGTTCCTCCTGAAATATTTTCTTAGCTTGATTATCATCAAGTAAAGCCCTAAGAGGCTTCCTTACGGTGTCTTTCCTACGTCCAGCAAGCCTCAAACAAATACCTGCTCGCACTAGGGCATGATCTGAATCTAAACATGTGCCCCAGAACGAGCGACAGTCCTCTATCGAACCCCTCCATCGGTGGCTGATGGCGATATGATCTAGTTGTGTCCAACGTTGAGACGACTTCGGGGGTCGCCAGGTCAAAAGGTGTTTTTCCTTATGCTTAAAATTAGTGTTTGCTAGAAATAGTTGGTTATCTGAGCACAGTTGCAACAGACGGTCGCCATTGTCTGTTCTTTGAGCCGCGAGACCGTAACATCCACCTAGGTGTCTTTCATTTTCACTTAGTCTACCTACTTGTGCATTGAAGTCACCAGCCATTATAACTATATCAGAGCGCTTAACTTTTTGGACGAGGTCCGAAAGCTTTCTGTAAAACTCATCTTTTACATCATCTGGGCTGCAGTCAGTGGGGGCGTAGGCTGATATGACGAAGAGGCAACGACGAGTGTCCCTATCTTTCCGAGTCCTTACTGTCCCGTTCAGTCGGACGGCGCACAAGCGACTATCTACAGGGATCCAGTCAAGGAGAGATTGTTCTGCCCTACGACTCAATGCTATACCTACACCGGCGAGGCCCCTAGAAGCAGCATCAGGGCTACCGGATACACGAAGGGTAAATCGAGCTGCTTCTTTATCTTGACATGGTGAGGTCAAATGAGTGATGCTACTCGGATCCTGTATGCGCGTTTCCGAGACGCAGCACACATCGATGGAACGAGATTCTAAAGTCCTAGCTAATGATGCCTGTTGCCCTATTTGACACAATGTCCGTACATTGAATGCTCCAACATGTAGTTTGGAACGGGGTTTAAGGAGACCAGGAACGACGTTTCGCAAACTCGCATCGTTTGCATTAGCTGTGCACTGTAATAAATGAATGTGAGAAGAGTTAGTTGTGGAGATAAGAGAGGGATTAGGGAATGTAGGAAGGATTTGATTTTGAACAATTTTGTCTCGTGTGCTGTTGCGGGTATGAGGGCGGTTATTACTTCCCGGCTGCCCACACCGTGGAAGGTTGTTTCTTGACGAACCTGAAAAGGAAGATGGATTAGTGTTGGTGCGTGACCGCAGAGTCCAAGGGACAACTGCTTGAGGCCGGTCACGCACGGCTTTTTTATGAGAGGTATTTAGAGGATTAGCTCCGTTCTTAAAGGCCCTTAGTGGGCACCCTTACCCAAGGAGACGGAAATCCGTGAGGTAGGGGAGGTGTGACATTTTTAGGGCCGACCTTTTCTAACCCTTCCTTCCTTGTGAGAAGGCAGCATCGCTGCAAATGCTGGTTGTCCGAGGGAAACACCTTACTGCTGTCACACCCCTCTGCAGTCAGCAGTACGACTTCGCCCTCAGACCTTGGGTAGCTGCTTTTAGTCTCATCGTTCTCCAATCGACCTGCCTGGCATGGTAGGACCTGCAGGAACATGTGTTCCAGCCAGTATAGCTCGGTTGGGTCATCACGATAGGCAAGCCCGACCACCACGTCAAGGTAGCAGCTTCGGTCGGCCCAGTGGTCCGATGGTGAGGCGTTCGCCTACAGTGCCAAAGGTCCCGGGTTCGAATCCTGCGAGGAGCAGGAGTCGTGGATGCGCACTGCTGATGAGTCCCATACGCGATACATGAACACTATTATTGATAAATATGAAAAGTTAACTATTTAAATTTGAAATAATCATAAACACGAAGGGTTAACACTTTTCGTTAAGTAATGAGGAGGGTAAGAGCATGAATATAGGGACTATGTAGGTTATTCACACAGTATTGTAAGAAGCGACTTACAAGATAAGCGCTAGGGTGGTCAGAAGAATACTCAAACTTCCTAATAGTGCTAACAGCTAACTAGAAACAATAACCATGGGTGCTTTTCTCTACAACTCACTTTCTTACACGACTTGTATCTTTTTCTGATTGGATTTATTACGCTCACGCGAAGCTTACATGTAGATATGATTTTCAAATATATATATATATATATATATATATATATATATATATATATATATATAGCATGTTATAGTAAAACGAAGACTGAAGGGATGGTAACTACCAGAACTAACATGAATATTATTATGTACACGCTTATTGTGTAATTGTTATGCAACCATATCATGTATAAATATTTTTTATTTATGGTTTAATGCGATCTAGTCTAAATGTATATAAACAACGTCTGTTTGAGATATAAATATAGTAGAGGCTAGTTGCTGGCTTCTGAACTCAAACATAAAGGAAAGAAAGAAGCAAGAGAATCGCAAGTCAACAGGAATTCAGCTGTTAGCTCAAGGTGAATATTGCGGAGCGGACGTGCAATCGATCAAATCAGAGGTGGAATGATGTTGACAAACAGATCATGATTGTTGGACGTTTTAGAGAGAAACGCAGATATAAGTTGAAATATGACATTTATGCACATATTTCTAAACAATGTGAGGAAATTTATGACAAGAAAAAGAAATGAGACTTAAAATTACCAAAGTAGAAGAGAAAAAAACAGAATGCAACGGACGGAAACAAGTAAAAAGAATGGGGACGCTTAAATTATGTCATATTTATTCATAGCAATAACCGCATAATTCGCTAAAACGACCGAAAAACAACAACCATTCACACTTCAGTCAAAATTAATGGACGGAAATGATCCGTATAAGTTTGCTTACAACTATGAGAGAAGAATATTCGATGTTATGATTTGAATAAATCATCCTAAGGAGCCCAGTTTATGTTCAATGAACGTATCTAGACATGACTTCTGCCGTCAGTTTTGTTTCAAGGTCTCTGCTATTAAGGAAGTTTCCTAAACTGAAAACTGAGGACCAGAAATTGGTCGGTTCTTTTTATTTTTCTGGAAATGAATGATATACACTGCATAAAGGAAAATAGTACTATTTTTTCAGTAATCGGCATTCACTTAACTGAAGATGTTCTATTACTTCTGCCCACAAAAGTTGAAAGCTTCTTAGTTGAGAGATAGTGTGGTGCAGCTTTGGAGCCTGATGAGATTATTGTAAGACGAAAGTATATTAATGAAATCCAAAACTATAACAGCAAATGATTCACGAAATAAAGGAAAGATAACTGTACCAAAAATATAAGCTACATTATTTTGGTTTATCATAGTGTTTCGCAATTTACGCTAGTTACACTTTAATTTGTCTACAGTGTAAAAAAATAACTCAAAATTGCCCTAAAGTAGATCTCATTTATCCAGTAGAGATTACCAGGGGAATTCGCTCTAACTAAAAGAATGGAAATGATTGAGGAGTCTGCTTTGGCTAAAACTATATAAAAAACCACCAAGTAGATGAGATTGCTTTTGCAGCAGAAGAAATAATAATTTCAAAAATAAGAATTAAAAATTTGAGAGGCAATGATCGATAAATTTCTTCATTACTATGAAAACAGAACAAAATAAGTCAATGAAAATATTATCATTACCTCCTTTCAAAGCAGGTGAACGTACAAGCTTCGGTGAAACAAACGCCGTCGCAGTGCAGTTCAAAAAGTTCGCATCCGTTGTAAAACTTGTCTCTGATTGCAACTTACAAGATCCAGTTATTGACTGTCTAGATGAACTTAGCTCTCTCATCTCGTGAAATCTACTGAAAACGGACAGATTTCTAGTGGGAGTGCCGGTTGTTGGTTGTGAACTTGATCGACGTCGACTTTCTGTTGTTTTAACTGGACAACGTCATAATAACACGTTAACAAAAATTAATATGTTTAGATTTGTTTGTTTAGTCATGATTTTCATTTACTAGCAGAATAAGAACACATTAGTAATTTCGACAAAACGTATTTAAGCTAATTACTACACTTGGCAAAGTTTCAGCAATTATTTTTTAGGGAGCATTGAACTAAGAACGGAAGCCTCATATTACTGAATACTGAGGATGTGATAAGGAATTCATGTGATATTTATTTCACAAACTACAATCCATCTATCACCTTGATTATCATAGTTTATTTTGGAATGAAGTCTTGATCTTTGGAACCATATGTTTATGCAAAAATCTACCTTTTATACTAGTAACAGATTCATGATATCTTTCTTCAGTGTCTGATTCACAGCTGACTATTCGAAAGCGTACGCTGTATCACTAAAACCGGAATGATAAACACGATGGAGACTGTTTAATATAAGTTCGGGATCATCTTTGCATTAACAATGTGGGTGGCAGTTTCGGTTACGTGTGGTGTCCGAGATCTCAACGTGATATACACTAAAGCCCTAAACTGGCTACTTGAGAAAGACAAAAATGGAAAAGAAAGTCTACTTCGAGACCGAATGATATGTATAAATACTTGTCAATATTTATTCCATCTCTTTAGAAAATGGATCGATTTTTTGACCAATGATGTGCATTCGTCCTTCAGAATACTTCTGATGACTATTAAGTGGCCTACTTGCTTGGCCACTTCCGACTGGCTCACTAATTCAGTTGCCTCAACCCTAAATGCCCTGGTACGTTCCAGGTTGGGGAAAGTCCTCTCTCCATCTCGAAATACACTCATCTGGCCATGCGTATATAGCCACTGTCAGGGAAGTCCTACTCACTGTCTTCGTGCAACTAGGGTGTTGTTTATAAAGTTTGGAGGATAAAAAAGAGTGTCTGGTGCTTCCACCAGGTGAAGATGGAGGGTCCGCCTAGAGAAGTTGGAAAACCCTGATTTCAAACCAATGCTGCGCATGAGCTTCCGGATCCTGATGGAGCGAATGGCGCATGAACCTACTTTGGTCACAGGCTACCATGAGACTACATCCTCTTACGTTGCTACACTGCCTTGTGGATAAGACTAGGCTAAGAAACCACGTATTCGGTTTGGGAGTCCGAGCCGTATCCCAGCCCACACACAAATTCAATAATTTGTGTGGCGCATAGATATTTAGGTGCCGCTTCGTACCAATGTTTATGTGTTTGAATAAACAGAAATATTCCCGAATGAGGTTCTCTAGATGACAGAAATAGGTGATTAGGGAGAACAAAACAGACTGAAATCAATAACAATGTTGTAAATATACTTACACTCTCTTGCACATCATGGGTACTTCATTTAAAATTTTGATGCGTATACTTCTAATTCATTATACTTTTTGTTAGGCAGTTGCTTAGGGTTGAAGTACTCAGATTTCAGATATTGTGCAACGGATTCAAACTCCATCTTATCTACGAAGCCGGATAATATCATTAACCTATAACCAGGGTAATTTATCTGCACATTAGTGCAGAGCGAAATTCTTTTGACTAGGAATTGCATAGTTCCATTTACATTTCTAAAATGATGTCGTTTGGTGCATGATTATAATCGTGAAAAATTCTCAATTACCTCTTTAATGACTCAAGAGTGTTATTATGAAAGTGTGAACTCGAAGGCAGAGATTCAGGGTTGAAGTCAATTTGGCACATTCGAAGGGAGGACATTTAGAAATTAGAGGAAGTCAGTTTCAGACTAATAGTGCACATAGCCTCTAGAATCCTGAATAGTCAGGTGGTGTAGGAATCTACTTTGCTGCCGGTTGGGAAGAGAAAACATATCACAAAGGACACTATAAATTATGACATCGATGTATTACACGAAGTATGATTTTAGGAAGCTTTCTCAACAGCGGATCACATATTGAAATACTGACTAATTTACTCCGATTTAAAAGACCAGGCAGTATTATTAACACATACAAAAAATTTTGGCTTAAAGTCGAGTATATAAAAATATACTTGCTTAATAGCTTACAGAACAGACTAAAAATCAGTCAATGAAAATATTATCATTACCTCCTTTCAAAGCAGGTGAACGTACAAGCTTCGGTGAAACAAACGCCGTCGCAGTGCAGTTCAAAAAGTTCGCATCCGTTGTAAAACTTGTCTCTGACTGTAACTTACAAGATCCAGTCATTGATTGTCTAGATGAACTTAGCTCTCTCATCTCGTGAAATCTACTGAAAACGGACAAGTTTCTAGTGGGAGTGCCGGTTGTCGGTTGTGAACTTGATCGACGCCGATTTTCTGTTGTTTTAACTTGACAACGTCATAATAACACATTGACAACAATTAAGTATAAGTACTACTCCGAATAATAAAATGTTATAAAAACTACGGTTACAAATTAATCAATATAGAGGGGGGGGGGTATTATTCGAACCATTGTGACATGTAAAAATTTCAGGACAAAAGAGTGGGTAGAAACATGGGTGACAGAAGAGTACACACCAGATGTCATGCTTCACAATGCTACAAAACCGCAGTGATGAATGATAATTACTGGTTACATGATAAGATACGCGAAATATGGAGTTAGTCAGCTACAACGTACGTACATCAATTCAGGTTGCCATACCACATTAGCGCAGAGACGCAATTGTCGATTCAAATCCCATAGTGGTAGATGCAGTCGAAATATTAGCGGTAATGAAGAAGATTAGGGTTCACAGATATAATTCAAGGAGTATAATCCAGTGAAATAAACTTAAAAAGAGAAAGATAATGGTGATGAGGAAAAAAATCCTATCAACAGATTTAATCGGCACATACGAAGTTTATCGTTTATTGATATCGTTGATGAGCTTGAATATTTAATCATATTTGATTCGGTTGGTGCGATAGCCATTGATTATTTTCAAAAAGGATATCAGTTAGCGAAGATTGGTGTGGAGACTTGCGCAGAGTGTGGAGCAGACGGAATTTAGATGTGATTTAAAACTGACTATATCGTATTGATTCAACTAACTATTAGATAAAGCGATGTTTTATTTCGGGTGTTTATTCATTTTGGTGCTGTTTTTGAATACGTACATTTGGTCTTTATTGAAATTTGTTGTGGTGCGAACAATTTGCGCTGCAGTCAGGTGAGTCTATTACTCATCGTTGTACATATATGTACAATGTTGTTCTTATTACTTATAATACCTTATGTTCAAAGTGTCATCTGATCAGTTAATAAAAATGATATGTAGATGAAAATTATCAAGGAAAATCCTTGAACGCTTTGTGACAATATTGAAGGAAACATTTGGCAATCGTCCTCATACATATACAAAATAAAACAATTACATTTATGGTAAATACTTACATTGAAAGCTATCTGTATTCAAATCATCAACCAAAGATTTTTCAGTTGCGTGTGAACTACAAAAATCAGTATTCTGAGGTTTTTCAAATATGAAACTAGAAGTGGTGCGATCAGTGGAAGCACAGCTTTGATCTTGGACGGCTGAAGGTTGTGCAGAAAACGACGAATTTATGTGATGATGAACTTCGGACACTGGAGAAATGGACTAAATGAAAAGTAGAATTATATAAGTTCTATTTATAATTAGAGATATTTTGATTTATAGTTTAGCTGAATGGATGTCTTGATTACTCGAAAATATTTATATATTGCATATAAAGAATAAGTGCGGTTCTACAATACATCGTAATTAAATTTAAGCTCACATTTAAAGTGAGAAGACAACAATAACGGTTAATCGTAAAACAGTCCAACGTAAAGATGACGAGTTCAAAATGGATGTATATGCAAGATATGTTTCAACCGATAAGAAAATAGCTAATTTGTCGATAATTAATTTAACCAATGATATGTTAGAAAAAAGGACGAGTTTTGACCACTAGTAAGTAATTAGTCATAAACGAGATACGAAGGTTCTGAGTTCTATGCCTGCTGAGATCGTCGGTATGCATTGCTGAAAATTCCTATACTAGGATTACACAACTGTCGGGTGTTTCTTGGCTTTTAATGATTTACAAAATAAGATCAAACTGTGACTAATCCAGTCTGCAACCTTTGCATCAAGTTTCAAAGTCTTAAAGGAATAGTAATGAGCATACAATGGAGTTTGTTTATGATAAACTACATAATTAAACAATCGACAAAATATCTTGGTAATCATATTCGAGAAACTGCATTAAATGGATTATCTAAAATATGTACAATAATCTTATTTTATTTCCCGATAAAAAGTTAAAAACAATGTGTTGTATTACTACTGCCACCAAATATAAGAACCGATCATGGTAATGTATGCTGAAGTTTTTTTACTAGTGAATATAAAAACTCATTGGAAAAATACACTTAGACATAATTAGAAAAAAAAGCCCAGTTAATATCGAACAAGTTACTATACATAACTTATTTTAATTAGTTTAAATGATGTACAATACAATAAAATTAGAAATTTAAATCAACTTAAACTTGCACAGCTTACATGTTCGTTAGTACTCTTATTTTTGATATCAATCTTAGAACTGCCTACAGAGGAATTTGAACAAGGAGTTTTAATCCAAGTGGGTCGATGAGGAAATCGATTTGTTGTGGTTCTTTTAGGAGCGAGAAACTAAAAGAGTAAAAGAAAAAGAGAGTAGACTCTTTTGCATATATTTCGACTGTAAGTACGACAAATATGTGGGGCTATGAATTTAATCGACATTACATTAGCAAAACTAGTAACACATTCTAACTTAAATTTCAAAAGGTTTATTATACTTTTCAATCAGTAATAAATACAGACACTTTTTACATAAAATATGTAAGTGCGCAAAAAGCATTCATATTCTTTACTAAGATGATCATAGTGATTTTGAGAAAATAACTTGATACACCCAGATAAAAAACAGTTCATTTGATAGTAACATACATTCAGGAGAATATTCAGTGCTATCACTCAATTTGGGCTCGTTCTGTGATTTTAAATTACTTTCCAATTGGTAGAAATCAGATAGCGATAAAATGTGGGTTGCGTGAAGATTAGTGATCCTTTTGAACTTTAGAAAACCTGGTACTTCTTCAATCGTTGCTTGCGAAATAAGACACGGGCAACAGCAATTCTACATTAATTTTTATTATTTTCTTTTTAATCACCGACAATTACAAATGAAAGTATAGATAAATAAATCAATGTTGTTTACCACGGAAAATATAATTAATCATTGATTGAGTTATACCTTAGAGCGACTAGGTCTTTCAGGTGGTAACAAACGACCAACAACCAAAGCCTGGATAACGTATGCATCATTTACGCGAAATTGAATCACATGATGGAAAATATAAGCATCATCTGAGACAGAATTGCGGATAGGATTCCATGTTATCCTCATGAGAGATTGACCGTGGAGGGGTTGGAGACTGATTCGTTTAGATGCCGCAGGATGAATTGGCCGATTAGTAAAATCGTCGGTTTCTGAAGTTATCCAATCAATAGTGAATTCGTTTTCCGGGAGACCACGTTGAATCATCACCTTTGTGAGATTAAGAAAAATTCGGTTTTAGTTGTCATAAAATTTAAGGAGAATAAATAGGATTGTTGTGAAAATAATGTTTCATTTAACAACAATGATTAATTAACTATTTAACTTCAAAAATGAAGCCAGAAGCTATAGTGAAATCAGTCAGTCAGTTACAACGCAGAACTTCGAACGTACGTACGTACATTAGTTTAGATTGTCATACCACATTAGCACAGAAACGCAACAACTGTCAATTCAAATGCTACAGTAGTAGAAGTATTAGCAGTAACCGGAGGCTATAATGAAATTTGATTTAAATACTAAACTATGAAATTAGTCAGATGGTTGGAACACTTGACATATTTGAATCAAATCATACTTATCAACTATCGCCTTTAGTATCTAAAATAGGTGCTGCGAGTAGATAAGTATGTACATGGTTAACAAGTTTTACCAAATTATAATGCACTTGTAAAATAAATAACTACAGAGGGAGACATATTGAGTATTAGTTTACGTAAATGTTGCGAATAAAGGAGAGGAGAGCAATATGAAACGTCAGTATCTATTCTTTGGTGAATTCGTTTGCATATCTTTGACGAACGTTCATCAAAAAAATGGTTTTATGATATTTTAATATAGCCCTAATTGTATGTTATCATTTGAATCAGTGACTGATTTTAGATCTGTATTTCATGAATTCGTCTTTTAATTTTTCGACAAAAATGTTACAGTTTCATGCTAATTGAAATTTTTTATGTGTATTGTGTTACACTATTGCATTATACGAATGTAATCAAATGAGTTCAGAGTCCAGGTAACAGAGATATTTTAACTACTTATCCGGTTTTCTTATTAAAGACTTCGGAATGTTTGGATTTTCATAGCTCGTCGGTCAAATGGCAAATGAAGTAGGGGAGAAAGTGGATTTATTGTTCATGGAATGGATACTTTGAAGACAGTTGAACATATAAAAAATCCACTAAAAATAGGATAGACATATAATTTGTCAACATTTGAGACATTTAATAGTACTTATCTACATCCAGTACTGGAGTTAAAACTAGGTTGTTTAGCAAGATCGAGGTGATCGGATCGAAAATACTAAGGATCTTAACTTTAGGTTAGATAATCACAAGATATGCTCATCAGATATGAATAGTGAAATCAATGAGTTATTTAGTTTTTTTAAAATATTTTAATTGAGTTTCAATGATTTTATAAATAAAAACATGTCAAAAATACTTAGTCATATGTTTATTTGAAAGAGAATCTAAAATTGTTGTTATTTGTAGCCTATGTAGAGAAGACAAGTGCTAGTGTTCATTGGTATTTCAATTGTAGGCATTATGTCTAACCTATGATCGAAATTCATGAACTAAATCATATATCATTTGGAGAGTGATCCGTTTCCGGACAAAATTATATCAACAAAAAATAGTGAATAAAAACTTAAGAGACAAGGAAAATTGTTGATATGAAGAACCGATACAATAAAGGTAGCATACAAAAGTAAACTGATATCCATAATAAGCACTCACCGATTGTTCGTCATCAAAATCGTTTACTAACAATAAGAAACGAGTCAGTGACTTTCCTGTAAAGTTGGTCGTACCAAAATCTACCACAGCTTTTCGAGAGAACATGGATACAGAAAGAGTGTCAGAGATGTTCACTGTGAAAGGAACTTCATTTTCATCGGCGAGTAAAGTCACTTCATGATTGCTACCATACAATTCCGCTCCACCCACTTTTTCCTGAAACGAATAACAAAAACGGAAAATGATGCCATACTCTGATCTCGAAAAACGAAAACATGAGAATGATGGACACTGGCACGGAATATGACATGTCACGGACATTCAGACCTAAAGACTAGAAACCGAATATAAACATACACAACAATTCCCTAACGCTGATGAAACCATATCATCTTAAGAAAATATAAAAAATTGCTAGGCATATAACTACTTAGTAAGTTAATTGATGGAGGTATAAACACTTTGTGTAACGAAAATTTAATTTAATCAAAGTAAACAATAGAAACGCTGGCATCATATGCGGCATTTACGGACAGGATATGATAGAAAAAGCCACTTTTATTATTCTCATTTTTCAAGAACTTTACACAAAGGCTTGATATTCAAGTATTAGGTCTTAAGATTTGAATCCTTAAACAACTACTTCAATTTGATCATACACACAGTATTAATAATTCTTACGCGAGCAGCATGAATCAACAGTAAGTAAAAAAACTTGAGCTTAGTTAATTAGTTACAAAAAATTAACCATCAAAAACGAACATTTCATATGACAGATATTAGTGGATTGTCACCGAAATGCTGACTGTGAGATGTGAGCATCCTTTTGAAAGTACAGGCGCATGGTTCTTGTGGTAGTGACTGCTCAGAGTAAGTGCCAGCTTACGATGCAGATAATGAGCATTTCAAACATTATATTGGAAGATGGAGTCGATTTTGAATAGATTCTCAGTCTGTGAACCAGCTATGAAGTACAATTACTTACTAATGCCTATTAGCCCTGCTGGGGCATAGGCTACCGACCAGTCATCTTCAAGCTACTCTATACTGGGTTCTCCTTTCCAATTGCTACCGATTGCCATTTATTCTTCTGATGCTTGTTTCCTGATGGAATGTGTTACTGGGTCTGCTTGTTTTCTTTTTGACTTGAGGGTACCCGGTTGACGTTCGCTTTGTGGTGCAATTCGAAGACTTTTGCAACCTGTATCCTATCTACCTCCGGCGTCTTGTCCTAGTTCGCCCTTCAGATAGAACCCGAATTTTTCTGTCCCACAGCAGTTAGTTGTTGATGGTGTCTGACCGAAGGATCCAGTATCTTGTGTAGACAACTGTTTAATAAACACTTGTATCTTTTGGATGATGGCGTTCGTAGTTGTCCAAGTCTCTACTTCATACAATAGAACTATGCCGACGTTTGTGTTGAAAATTGTAACTTTGATTCTAGTAGTTGTTTTGATTTCTGGATGTTTTTCAATTTTAGAAATGCTACCCTTACTTTGCCGATCCGTGTCCTCACATTTAAATCAGATCCACCTTGTTTATGATTGATGCTGTCCAGGTATGTAAAGGTTTCTACATCTTTGAGAGCTTCTTCATTAAGTGTAATTTGGTTGTTGCGCGTTTTGGTGTACCGAAGGATCTTGATTTTTCCCTTGTGCATGTTGAGGCCTACTACTGTAGAGGCTGCTGCTATACTGGCCGTCTACACCAGCATTTGCTGCTATGCGTGGGATAGAAGAGCTAGGTCATCTGCGAAATCAAGCTCGTCTATCTGTCCAATGTATCCTTTGTTTCTACTGAGGTGCTGACTTTCTCGTAATCGAGTCATGCACCAAAAAAATAAGAAGGCGTGAGAACAAGCAGCCCTATCCAACACCAGTCTTCAGATGGAATGAGTCTGTGGGCTGTCCTCCATGCACGATTTCTTATTGTAGTTTTTCATAAGAGTTCCGTATGGTGCTGACTATTTTCTAAGGTATACCGTAGTGTCAAAGAAGCATCCACAATATCATCCTGTCCACGCCGTCAAATACTTTCTCGTAGTCAAAGAAGTTGATGTAGAGTGATGCGTTCAGTTGAACTGACTGTTCCATAATGATCCGAAATGTGGAGTTTCGATAGGTACACGACTGATTCTTACGTAATGCAGCTAGTAGGTCTCGAAGTTGGGTGCATACTAAATCTGCCAATTGGTTTGATTGCACTCTGTTGAAGCCTTTTACCGGTATTAAGAGTTGAGTACTCCCTCCGTAGTTCTCACATTAGCTGAGGTTTCTTTTGGTATCTTGATGGAGTTTCCTTCTTTCCAGTCTGTTGGTATATTTCCTTCCTCCCAAATCTTGCATAAGAGAATATGGAGTATCTTTGCAGTTACTGTTATGTCTGCTTTCAGTTGAGTGAATGTTTTGTCTACAGGATAAGGAATATGGTCACCGTTAGCCATTGATGTGTTCGAAAATCTGCCGAACGGTTAATATTTAACCATTGCCTTAACAGTAAAGTCTGAGACCATGTTAGTTTCTTCAGATTCGCCGATGAATGATTGGGAGACATTATGGGCTAATGACTGTGAAAGACACGACGATAAAATTAAAACTGTAATAAAATAGGAATGGGAGTAAATTTACCAAAACTTACATCTTGTTCAGCAGTCTGGTCAGATTCTGACTGCTCTTTAATAATATAAGATTTTGCGACTGTTGAATCATTAAGATTTCGATTTGGAGACGCTATACACAACGGACTTCTATTTGTACCGAACCATGATTTTCGCACCTTCCGCGATTCCATTCTAAAACAACCCCACGGGATTATTGTTATTTGAGAAAAGGATTAGTTTATTTTTGTATTAAAATCCAACTTAACAGTGTCTACATTTTCTCATATGCTTAAAGGTATATAACCTTCCGTAAATCCTCAGCGAGATTTAAACGAATATGTTTAAGAAAGCTGGGTGTCCAGCAAAAGTTAAATGCGAAATTATACTAGTACGGATTACAACAGTCAAGGCTAAATAGGATCTGTTGTTTGCTTGAAAGTTTGGAACAGAGAGAAGGAATCTTTTATAACCATCTAATGACTTACAGAGGATTGATAGCCTAAATCTAACAGATATTGGTGAATCCAGATGGATCTGAACAGAATATAACAGAATACAACAACAGCACCACAGCAACTATCGACCAATATATCAAAATTCTGTTATCTAAATCCCACTAAAAGGATTATGAGCGCCAACAGCAGGAACGTCCGTTCGTCAACTAGAGCGGTTAATTTAATGTTAGCCTATGCATAAGATAGTATGACCATTGGATTCAGATGAATGCTACACAATATAAAATGGATAACGATGAGTGCTAGCGTCATTATCGACTATATCCCGAATTTTTACAAAATCGACATACAGTGAAGTATTAGGGACTACAAGGAATAAAACTAGGTTTGTAGAGTTGCAATGGTGAAGACGTCAAGAAGATAATCAGAACGTTATAAATTTACGGTTATGCACAGCAAAATACTAGGACGCAGCCTACAAAGAATACATCTACATATACTGCAAAATAATCTTTACAGCTATCGAGTAGATTAGTTAACTAGAATTCCACTTTCGGTCAGCATATTGAGGTCACCTAAATGTAAGCTCTACAGTCAAAGATTTCAAAACAATATGAAGACAATGAACTTTCGAAGAGACAGATCAATACATATTCAATACAGCTTGAAGCGTTGGTGAAAGGCGTACAAAGAAACTGTAGGTTGCAAACCACTATTTAGATCAAAACTTAGGTTTTTAAGGATACTCAGACTATCAAACAACCAGCTGGTTGGGCAGTCAGCTAATTTTATTCTTTGTTACTGTAGATTGAGAGTGTTAAGATGAATTATAAGATGACTTTACACATCTTCCTAACACCAATATGCGAATGCATAACAATCAACTGGTTTGTAATAGTTTACCACGAAAGAGGCGGATATTAGAATACGCGGAATATTTTAAGGACTAAGAATAAATATTTGTTTTCATGACTGGTAGCCAAAATTTCCAATCGTATGAGGGAAATGCAACGTAAAAACCAGGATAAGTAGCTTAGGACTTATTCACTGACTACTACTATTAGGTAGCCATAAATTAATTCATTTAGTAGATGAAAAAACTAAATGTGGAATGTAGTCCTTTCTAACGGTAAACCCGAAACGAGTTTGGATAATTACGTGTCTTTGAAGTGTTCAGAACAATATAAGGACATATAACTTCTGAGAAACAGAGAGGACTTTGAGAAGTTACTTATGACGCTGGGATCCAAACACTAACCTTCATAAACCCAAACTCCCGCTAGAATACAAGCAACGGGTTTTCTGGTTGTCAATGTTGTATCGTGACCGGCCAATGTACAATACTATAGTGAAAGGAACTAACGCGTCAATCAGTCTATTGGCTTTGACGCTTCGACTTTCGGAATTAAATTCATATACTTTTGAAGGCTAATTGTGTTTTGTCTAGTTACTCTACTGGTTCACTCGGTTCTTGTTCTTTCACTACAGTCCCAGGTATTTTTTAGTGGCATTCTAGCCTTTCGACTGCACTAATTCTAGTCAGTTTCCAGTGGTTAGTGAATTTTTTGTCCTGTGATTTGAATTGAGTGCGTTTGTTCCGAGAAACTAGGGTTTCAGAATATCAGCAGCTATCACATTAGCAGACCGGAAATCAGTTAGTTGCCATGTGAGGGATTATAATGAGAAAATTCTAATGCTATAAATGAGATTTCAGAAGTAGGTAAATAAATGGGTAATTCAGTTGTTTAGTCGGTAGTGGAGATTGTACAAGACGACCGAAGTGCAAGCGAGGGAGAGGAAATAGAGGTAATCAGTCAATTCTTCAGTTACTTTTGTTCATTTCTAGCCTAAAGGATGGAATAGGAAGTTACCATGTTACTAGGCAATTAAACAGTTGGATGTGTTACGGAGTTTAAAACGAGAATTCCAGGTAGCACAGTAAGGCTAAGGATCAAGAGAAGTATTTATATCGATTAAGCACCTGTGATAATATCAACGGCTGTTGCTTGTTAAATTGTTAGGTCAAGAGGTTGCAGTCAATTGAGACTACTGATCATGAGACAATCAAGTTAATTCCTGTTAAGGCCAAATATCAAAAGACAGGCTGTGATTAGAGAATGAGGTCTATTGATCGCTAGTCTCGTGATATCAAGAAAATTCAAGACAAGCGATTAATAAACATATAGATACACTGAGGTAACCGACCAATGAAGATCTACTCGTCACCGAAAGTCTTCTGCGTTGAGCTGTTCCTGTAGTAACGTCCATGTTTGTTGCTCGTGTTGACGTGCCACACCAGCGTGTCCAGAGTCTGAAGATTGCTTTCGTAGGTGTTCGTACCAGGAAAAGCTGAAGACGGAACCAGATTGAGCCAAGTAGCCGAAAACGGTCATAACCACTAAGTTCGAGACCGTACCTATGCCAGATACCTTCGGAACCAGGACATCGACCGAGTGCATTGACAAGAGCTTGGGTGATCAGGACAGCTATCGCCAAGATTGACGATGGTCACAGACTTGGGTTCAGGATAAAAAATGAAAAGAGAAAGGTGTTGAACGCATGTACTATGAGGATAAGGTCCAGTGCCGTATCCGTTGTTGTTTGGGTGGTTAGTCGTACGTACAGCTAGGCGTACGCGGCGACCGGAACGCGAGACGGTAGTCTCGTATGTACCTCGCGAGCTTACAAACTCATACGAAGTCAAGGGCGCCGTGGTCTGCTGATCTGGACGTGAGACCGGAATCTCATCCGTAGATAGTGCAGATGACCCGTCCCGCTGAACGAGACGTGAGTATGAGGTCTCTGATTTATCTAGCGTGGGGCCCAAAGTAGATGTAGGGATCCCGCTGGTTAGTTTGATGGGTCAGGCATTGGGTCTCAGTTTAGCAAGTAGGGCACTGCCATCGACTTGTGCTGGCTTGAGATGATCAATGCTGACGATATCTGCGCGGCCATGTCGGTCAACCTTGAAGGTCTTTTCATGTCGAGAAATCACATGAAAAGTCCATCGTAAGGTCTTTGCAAAGGTTTGCTAACCAAATCTACTCGTATAAAAACATGTGAACAGGTGAACTGTACTTGAGTTTACAATGGATGTAGTGTACGCATGAATTCAGACAATCGCTGGACGTAGTGTAATTTATTTAGGTTATTACTGCTCCGTGATGCGAAAAATTCCCCAGACAGACGCAATGTCGTGCCGTATACCAATTCAGCGGTGGAACATTGGATATCTGCCTTTAAGCTCGATCTGATACCTAAGAATACGAGTGATGAGGTTTCGTATCAATTGTTTTCTTCGTGTGCTCAAAGGGCGTTTCGAAGTTGGCGACCTTTTAACTAAACCACTTGAAGCTGGGTGGTAGATGGTAGTGTGCGCTCCGTACCAGGCAGCCAGAGGAGAATAATTCGAACTGGAACCGTTGTCCACGGTAAGTTGTGACAGTCGAGCGACAACCATACGGCACACTCCATCGTTCTATCGATCGAGGCACGTGAGTATGTGGTTAGGCCTATGGGATGGTGGTAATGGTCCTATAATGTCAATATGAACGTGATGGAAGCGAGCATCAGGCGTATCGAATGTAACGATGGGGGCGGCTAAATGCCAATGTACTTTTGACCGTTGACATTGTAAGCATTGCTTCATCCACTTACGGACATCTTTATTTATGAAATGCCAGACGTCTCGTGTAGTGATGAGACAATGTTTATGAGCTGGAGATAGGGTGAGCTGTTCCAGTCCCAACCCAATATTCAGATCTAAAAAGCTAATTCCTATATTATAATGACTATCTTGATTTATTTAGAAGAATTGATGGCAATTATTTTTGATGATGAAGCGAAACTGCTTCAGTCAACTTCATATAGATTAAACATTTCAGTTGTAAAGAAGTAGGTAAGAAGAAGTGTAAGTGAAGTGGATATTACTACAAGGAGACTGGTAGATATTACAAATGTCTCTCATGCTGACACAATTAAGGAATATTATGATTCATTGAAATGTAACAGCGTAAGTATTTGTCATCAATGAACACTGATTATAGTAAGTGTGGAGATAGTCTACTAAATTTAATTTTATATCCGAACAGATTTCTTTGATTCTGGCTTCTAGTTTGTTTGTCAGATAGATCATATCTGGTATGTCCTTTCGAAAGAAAATTTCAGTTAGGAGCCGTATTGTCTGAGTTGTTTGTGGTGGCATTACGGGATGATTTCTGGCCATTTCGAGAAGGCATCGACTACAATTAATTACATAGTTCCATTGACTGGTACCGCAAAATCGACATGTATCCTGGACCAAGGATGATCAGGTTTGGGCCACAAAACCGGCGGAACTTTGGCATTTATCTTTGCCGCTTGCTGTTGTTGCTTGTTGCTGTACTTTTCAACCAAAGCTGTGATATATTGATCCTTGAGAGGCCAATATGCATAACTCTTGGCTATGAACTTCATTCGTCTAACCCCTGTATGGCCAAGATGGAACTGCCTCAGCACTTCTGAACGAAGGGATTCTGGCACCACCACTCCTTCGCCAAGCATCAAACAATCGTTCACGATGCATAGTGAATCCCGCCACTGGTACAGTTGCCTCATGTCACCATCAAACTTCTTCGACGGCCAACCGTTAGTGACATATTTCATCGTCATCTAGATGACGAGGTCGTTTCTAGAAGCAGACACCGGTAATGCGCGAATTGCAGTTGTCAGGTAGCATTCCGCGTGGTATTCCACTG